CAACTATGACAATTGTGTTTACATATTAAAAAGATAATAACAATGTGTTATTTTCTTGTTGCAATATGTGGATGATATTCTTATAGCATGCTCTAGCAAGGATGAGATTGGTATGTTGAAAGAGAAGTTAAAGCTTAAGTTTGTGATGAAAGATTCTAGTGTTGCTAAAAGGATACTTAGGATGAATATTATGAGAAAAAGGTCACCGGGAGAATTGTTTTTATCTTAACATGGATACATGTAAAAGATAGTGGAGAGGTTTAAGATGCATTACTTGTTGATGTCATGTGTCTTAGTGAGATTCTTAGGTTGATAGGGAAAGGTTTCATCGTGTTCTATTTCTTTGCTCAATCTAAATATATTAGCACTCCTTTCGATCATCGCACAAGGTTCTCTATCACACAAGCTCCTAACACTAACAAATAGAGGAGGAAGATGTGTTCTATTCCATATGCATGTGGAGTAAGGAGTATCATATGATATGGTTTGTAATGGCCCTAATTTGGCTTATGCTATTGCCATTATTAGTCTTTTTATGGCAAATCTGGACCGAGCTCATTAAGAGGCTTTAAAGTGAGTTCTAAGGTGTTTTAATGGTTCTCTAAAATCTGGTTTTAGGTATAAGAAGACAATTCAAGGTGGAGAAGCTAGTGGAGTATGTTTATGTAAAACTATATAGGAAATGTTGATACGAGGAAATCATTACCTGAGTATGTGTTCACTTTGTTTGGGACAATTGTTAGTTGGAAAACAAATTTAAAACTTGTGATAATTTTGTCTACAACACAAGCATAACATATTGCTCTTTCTGAAGTAGTGAAGGAGGCTTTATAGTTAAAAGGGATGATTGGTAAATTGGGTATATATGTCACAAAAATGCATGATAGTTCACTGTGATAGTCAAAGTGTTATACACCTTCAAAATTATCAAGTTTATCATAAGGGGTCAAAGCATATTGATATAAGGTTTCACTTCATCATAGATGTGATAGAATTTGGACAAATCCAGATTGAGAAAACTGCGTTTGAAGCAATCTTCTCAATGTGTTTACAAAGTATTTTTCTACACCCAAGTTTTAGCATTGCTTGTAATTGATCAACTTAGTTTGATGTTCGTTTTGAAGTGGAAGAATAACGTTGTGGTGAAAGTGTTCTTTTTTGTAAATTTAGAGTCAAGGTGGAGAATTGTTGATTATGACTCAAAATCTAATGTATCATTTGTATGTTTTGTATGGTCTTTCATTTGTATAATCTTATAAGTTTAGTCTCTCTCCTTTTGTCTGATGGGTTCAAATTATATAGTATGTTTTCATTAGTCTGATGGTTTAGTTTGTCCTGTATTATAAGACTTAATCTTAATATCTTAAATCCTTGTGTGTGTGTGTGTATGCCTGGGAGTCCTTTCTAAGATGTGAGACTGGAGTGTTAAGTGTGAGCATTAAAGAGTGAGAACATAATTAGGTGTAGGAACTGTGAAGGAGATACATAAAGAGGAAAAGAGAACTTGATAGAGAGGTCAAGAAATTTTTGAAAATAGTAAAAGATTGTTTTGATGTAAAGACTATATCTTATTTTCAAGTAGTAGCATCTACTTTCTCTTATGAATGTAGGTCAAATTAGTTGAATCACGTAAATCTATTGTATTATCTTTTATTAATTTTTATCATTTTATTGCTGCATTTTTTCTACATTTATGTTTTACATTCTTGTTGGATATTCTCATTTTCTATATTTTTTTTGTTTTTCTTACACAAAATTTGTATATTTAAGTTATCATTCATGTATCTAGAAATATATATTTTCTACTATCAAATAAGTAAAAATTAGTATATATGAATATACTTTTTTGAAAATATAAAAATACTAAACATGATATAAATATATTAAAAGAATGTTAATTATAAATATATGATATAAGTATATATAAAATTTAGTAAATAAAATATAGAAATTAGATACTCAATACTTGCATCGTATAATTTCAATTAATCTTCTTGTGATAAATTTATATTTATTTAAGTATTAATTTATTAATTAATATAGTGATAATATTTTTATAATATTAATATTAAGTTATCAATAATGTTATTATTACTAATTATATATAATATAATTTTTATTTAATAATAATTATATGTGTAATTTTAATTTTCATTGAACACGTATATATTATAATTTTTTATTTTGATTTAAAAAAGAAAAACAAAACCTAATAGTTTAGTGATTAAAAATTGTTCTTGAAAGTAATGATAAACAATTATAATCTTATTTTTAAGAATAATCTTCTCTAAAGTGAAAATTTCCATTTTAAAGAATAAAATACAATAATAATTATTGATTAAAAATTAATGATTGATATCATAATTAATTTTAAATTTTATTTTATAACAATTTAATTTTATCATGTTTTAATTATTAATTTTATAATTAATAATTGTAAGTGCACTTTATCATCTAAAATACACTCATCACTTTACAAGAGTTAAATCTCATTTTTAAATATGCTGAAAAAATGTCCTACTTTTATATGTTATTCGTTAAATAAAAAAAATTAATATTAACAAAAAAAAGATAGAAAGACTAAAATCAACTTTTATATATTAAACGCGAAAGATTATCTTATGCAGGAGTATTTAATTTTTTATTTACTATATTTATTTAACAATTAAATTTTAATACTTTAAAATAAATTATAAATAATTGAAAACAATCTCTTGTTGTAATACAAATTATTTATCTTACATTGATAATATAATTTATATTTTAAAAATATCTATTTACTAAAAATTTACATATAATTTATATATCTAAATATAATATTTATTTGTATATATAATTTACTATAAAATTTAGTTATATATAATAAAAAATTTAACAAGTGAAATATAGAGATTAAAATACTAATTTATATATATATATATAGAATTAAATATATTTTTAATTCTTGAACTTTTATAATATATCTACTAATATTAGCCTCTCATCTTTTGCTTATATTTACTTTTAGTCTTTGAAATTTTTCTCACCATAATATTTTGATGTCTAATATCAAAAAGAAAATTTTTTCATTGAAAAAAAATTCAAAGATTAAAATTAAATAAAATTTGTTCAAAAAGACTAAAAACAAAAATAGAAAAAAGTTCATGAACTTGAAAATATATTTAATTTTATTTTTTATTCACTAAAAATAAATAAAATTGACAAAAATTCATAAAGTAAAAATATATTTAATCCTATTTTTTATTCATTAAAAATAACCAAAATTAAAATATCTATAACTTTTACAAAAGCGATTTTTGTTATTTTGTGTACATACTTTTTCTAACATTCTTATCCTTTAATAATAATATGTACTTTGGTTAAAGGATGAAATTAAAAATAAAATATCCTAAAAAAAATTAAATCATAATTAGTTCAAAGTAATTGTACATAATAATGCTATTTTTTCTCTCTCTTCATTTTTATTACACTCTTAAACTAGGGGTGTGGACCACTAGGGTTAGCCTAGTAGTTGGGTGGGGAGGGGTTAGGATAGTTAGAAACATGAAGACCTATGCTCAATCCTCATTACGACCATCTTTGTAATCTTTCCTATCTTTACAAAAAAAAACTAGGAGTGTAAATGGGTTCGGTTGAGCCAGGTTTGGATAAGACCATTACTTGACCTAATCAAAATTTAATAGGTTGAATTTGTGCAACTTTTTTTTTTAATTCAATCCAACCCAACCCAAACACGAATTAGTTTAATTGGGTCAACATAATTATATTAATTTGTAAGAATTTAAATATTTTAAAATAGATGTAAATTATTTGATGCATTAGTTGTAAATTCTATGTTATTAACTTATAAAACAAACAATGATACAAATTAAATTCTATAATAAATTTATTAATTTGTTACATTATTATCAACTCAAAAAACTAACATTAATTAATACAAAATAAAATTTAAAATAAATAGATTATATTATTACAATACTATCAACCTAAAACACAAAACTTGTTACTAAGTAAGAGTGACAGTGAAAATTGTCTTAAACAAATAATTATTTAAATATTATTATTATTATTATTATTATTATTATATATGATCGGGTTAGGTCAAGTCTATAACAAATTGAAAATAAAAAAATCTATTATTTGACTTGTACAGTATCGAATTTTGATTGGGTTGGATTAAGTCTGATTCGAACACTAAAAAAATACGATTCAAATTCATTGGATTGGTTTAGATCAGTTTAGATTCACAGGTTACTCGTAACTACTTACACTCCTATTTTAAACTATATCCCTGTGTTTTTTTTTTTTTTACAAATATAATAATATATTTACTTTTTTCTCTTATTTTATTTTGTTTTGTATAATCATAGAGATATAGTGACCTTTTCTCACTCTCATATACATATTATAAATTTGACTTTTTCTTTTAAAAAGTGGAGAGATTTCACGCTATTAATTAAAAAATTCATGATAGTTAATTTAATTTTATTATAAATATATTTAATTTTATCATAATTCTTTATCTTTAATTTTTTAATAAACAGTTAGTATTATATTTTATTTTTTAAAATGCACTCACTTTAAAGGAGTTAAATTCAAATATTATATACTTAAAATTTAAGATGAAACTTTGACTTTAGTTTACTGAAGAACAATATTAAAATGCAGTTAATAAATTTTATTAAATTTTTACCTTTTTTATTGCTATTATTATGTAAACATAAGAAAAATTGTATACCAATTTGTATAATATTATTTTTGTGTTTATCTTTTTCTATTATTTTATTTACTATAAAAAAAATATTATTAATAATAAAAAAGATAAATACAAAAATAATATTATCCAAATTACTATACAATTTTTGTACGGGTCTAAAATTTCACTATTATCTTTCTAGTCATCTTATAACATGGGAGTTTGTACCGCCATGCATGAATCCACCATTGAAATCGAATGGCATTGAAACTAAAAGAGGGTGACAAAAATGAGAAGAACTGACCAGAAAATTATGATGGATAGCAGCTCTGGGCTCCCAAGAGATAATCTCAACCCACCGCTCTCCTTGATCGTGGTCTTCACCACCTTGGCTTCTGCACGAAAGAGAAAATCGTGAGAGAAAGTTGAAAGAGAAAAAGGAACAGAAGAAAGAGGGAACATTGACACACATGTGAGTGTTGCGAGCAATGGAGTTGAGATCGTTGGGTTTGGAGAGAGCAGAAGAGGCAGAGAGAATGCGGAGAGCGAGAAGAATGAGCGTGAAAAACGTGACTGTCACGAGCATCGTCACCGTCAGCCTCCACCACGATTTCCGAGGCCCAGCCCGAGACTGCTTCGTCTTCGCCATTTGTGAAAAAAGTGAGATCCGAAATTGAATTGAATCAAGGAAACAGAGAAAGAACGCTCTTTAATGTGTTTTCCCCTGAGACTGAGTGTGATGATAGGAAAGGTGGATTATGCTTCCACTTTCACTTCTGCGTCTGTTTTTCCTTGCTATTGTAGTGGTCTTCTTCAGTATCTTTGTATTAAATGCAATTTTTTTTTTTTTTTTTACATTTTTAGTAATTATATTATCCTCTTTTCTTTATACTTAAATAATTACATAGATTAAAAATAATAATAAATATATTATCTTTTATACAATTTTACTATAAAAAATTTATCCTCTCAACACTACAAGAAAATTATCATATAGTGACACACACTCTATAATGACACAATACGTGTCACTAAAAATTATTTTTACTCATACAATAAATATAATTTATGTTGATATATTGTTAAAAATTGTGAGTATAGACTATAGTGACACACAAAATATGTTGTTAAATCTCATTTAAAATCAACATTAAAATTGTATGTAACTATATGTCAAATAGATATATACTTACGTATATTATATTTATAATAACACTTTATATATCACTATATGTAATATTTCTTACTTTTAATTGTGGTGGAACAATTTATGAGATAGACAAATTAAAAAAAAATTAATATTACATTAAAAGTGAGAACATATGACATATTCAAATATTTTTTAAGTATTAAAATTGTACTGGTCAAATTGAGTCAAAGAGAGTATATATTATAGACTAATTTATATTTCACTACTTTGAGGTGTTTTTATATGACATTACTTCTTCCAAAATTCAATATTAATTCTTTCAATTCTTATTATAAGACAGAATTTTCTCAAGATAGTTTTTACAATTTTTATAAAATATTATTTTTTTTTGTTCCTATTAAAGATTGTGAGTAGGTGTACTTATTGTTGTTAAATAATAATAAAAAAAGTTAAAAAATAAATGTTCTTTCTCTCAAATTTGCATCCTCTTCATTTCCTAATGTCCTGTCCTGTTACTGTTTATTATTAAAGCATTCTTTTAGAAGAATTATTAAAGGTCTTTTTTTTTGCGTAAAGGACATTAATATTTTTATGATTGACATTTAATGTTTTTTATACACTAAAAACTATAGAAATGAGCGAGAAATGAGAAGAAATTAGAGAGGATCCATACTCCTTTGTTCCATGTCTTAAACTTTTTTATTGTCTTTTATCAATTTTATTGATATATATCGGTGTATAAAGTTTTGATAGAGAATGATATATTGTTATTCACTCCTTTCATAATAATTTAATGATAAATAAAAATGTTAAAATTGATAAATTGTAATTTTATTTTATAAGATCAAAAAATCAACTAAAATGACTGATTATATATATTGGTATGTGTGATTATGTTAAAAATATCTTATAATAAAAATAAGAGAGCATATAATATATTCATTAATTTGATAATTTTGATATGTGTTTTAATATATAAATATATTATAATATACATTTTTTATTTTTATCTTTAATAACTTGCTACAGATAATATTTAATAAATGTAGCATTTAATATTATTGAAAATTCAAATCTACCCATAATATATTCATGATAACATTTATTACATATAATATATTAATTAAATTTAATAAATATCTCATATATATATATATATATATGTATA